ATAAGCATATAAAAACATAAAAAAAACGTTTAAAGACCAAATACATATAACAGATAAAAACATATGAAAACAGATTAAAACAAATAAAATTAGATAAAAACAGATAAAAACAGATAAAAACAGATAAAATCCGATAAAAACAGATAAAAACAGATAAAAACAAATAAAATCCGATAAAAACAGATAAAAACAGATAAAAAAGATAAAAACGGATAAAAACGGATAAAAACACATTAAAACATAGAAAAAAATATAAAAACACACACAAACGCATATAAACAAATAAAGACACATTGAAGCATGTCAAAACATTTACAATTAATTAAAAGAAATAATTATAATTTTTGAGAAATAATTTTTTTCTATAAAATTAGATTCTGCCGGTACCTGACAGATGCAGGAAGGTTTCAGTGTGACAAGTGTGACAAATCTTTTAATGCTTTCAGGTAGATATTCAATAATTTCATGTAGAAATTTAATAAGTTCAGGTAGATATTCAATAATTTAAGGTAGATATTTAATAATTTCAGGTAGATATTTAATAATTTCAGGTAGATATTCAAAAATTTCAGTTAGATATTCAATAATTTTAGGTAGAAATTCAAAAGTTTTTGGTAGATATTCAATAATTTCAGGTAGAAATTCAATAGTTTCTGGTTGATATTCAATGCTTTTATGTATATATTCAATAATTTTAGGTAGATATTAAAAAAATTTAGGTAGATATTCAATAGTCATAGGTGGATATTCAATAATTTCAGGTAGATATTCAATAATTTCAGGTATATATTAAATAGTTTCAGGTAGGTTTTTCAATAGTTTCGTAGATATTCAATGCTTTTATGCAGATATTCCATATTTATTTAGATATTTAATAATTGGGTAGATTAAGGTACATATCCCTAAATTAATAATATACAGATATTATTATTATTATTTAACAAAACTTCTGGGGGGGATTTTTAATCCCCGTATGAAGCCACACCCATCAGTACTTCCCCTTACACCCCTGAACTCTATATTCCTAGATCCCTGGGTAAGCACCTCCAGCAGGTTCACGAGAATGAAGGATTGGTCGAGGAGAATGGGTTAGAGGATACCAATATAATGATATCAAATATACAATCACTGGAGAACACAGAACATGAAAACAAGAAGGTATTTTAAGAGTTGTTTTTTTATATTCGTGGATTTACATAACTTGAAAAGATTCAATCAAGACCGAAATATATTTCTAAATATTGTGTCCAGAGTTTTTGTATTTCAGGATCTTAAAGAATTTTAAAATAAGAATTTTTCATCATTGTAGTTGTCATTTGATTTTTCCATTTTGCACCAAGATTTTGCCATACTTTCTCAGTTGGGATGATGATAATAATGATAATATTTCTATATATAATTCCTATATTTTCCTTTGATTTGTGAATCTGATCCTAAGAATTAAAAAATAATTATTTTTGTAGAAAAGGAAAAGAAAAGAAAAGAAACCAGATTCTGAGATGGAAGATTTTATAGTGGACGAAAGTGATGAAGATGAGGAAGAAGCATTTATACGAAACCTGAAGTTGAAGAAGAAGAAGGAGGAGAAGAAGAAGGATGGCGGAGGAAAGAAAAGGACGAGTGGCAACTGTGTTTGTGATTATTGTGGGAAAGGGTTTTCAATCCAGAAGTATTTAGACTCCCACATGACAAACAAGCATCCAGAGAAAAGTGAGATAAACCAACATATTGAGGAACAGGTCAGATACCCCCCCCCCTTCTGACTCATCTTCATTTGTGTTTGTTTGTTCTTAGGTTTTTTTTTTTATCGATGAACAGGGAAAATTTTTGAATTTTTTAAAAGTATGGGGGGGGGGTGAAGTCCCATTTTTATTTATTCTCTATTTTATTTTTTCAGAACGGGACCTACAAGTGTATGTTATGCCAAAAAAGTTTCAGTATTGCTCGTCGCTGCAGATATCACTTAAAATTCAAGCATAAAATCGGCGCCAAATTCTCGTGTGACCAATGCACTAAAAAGTTCTACTACGAATATGATCTTGAACTCCATAAACGTTTCCATAGCGCTGCTCGGAACTATGTCTGTGATCTCTGTGGTAAGGGATTCCTTCTCCAGACCGTATTACAGAACCACAAGCACAACATGCACTCCACCAGGGAGGAGAAGGAGAAGAACAGGAAGTTTGTCTGTTCCTTCTGCGCTAAGGGGTTCTTCAGCAAGTCCGCGCTCCAGGAGCACGAGTTCCTGCACAGTGATAAAAAGAACTTTCACTGTGATATGTGCGGATTGAGTTTTAAACAATCAAGTGGACTAAGGGCGCATAATAATAGGCATCATAGGTAGGAATTATAATAATAGGCATCATAGGTAGGAATTATAATAATAGGCATCATAGGTAGGAATTATAATAATAGGCATCATAGGTAGGAATTTTTATTTCATTTTACACTCTTTTTACAAAAATGACAAAGTTTTTTTTCTTCTACCTTGTCCAATAAAATCCCATTTTTAAAAGTTGTTTTTTGAGAAAAATATTAAAAATCACCATTTTGTGTGAATATTTTTTATTTTATATTTTTATAAAACATTCTTTCCTCTGATAATTTCTTTTCCCGCATATAATAGGCACAGCGAAATATGATTCCTTATGATCAATTGAATTGATTGAGATTGAGAAAAATATTTATTGTAACCTGTAAAAAATATTTCTTAATATCTTTAGCACATTTTAAACATTGAAAGAAATTACATTGACAATTGTGCTAAGAGTACCACACCCTAATGCACAGTACATTTAATAGAAACTTAGCGTTAAACTAATGTTTAAATTATATTCTGTTTAGTGAGGTAGGTCCTAAACCTGTTACAGAGGAGCATAAGGAGAAGATGAGAGCATATATGAAGAAGTACAGAGCTATTAAAGCAGGAAAATTGCCCGATATAATTAACCACAGGTAATAACATGAGGTATAGAGCTATTAAAGCAGACAAACTACCCGATATAATATACACAGGTAATAACATGAAGTATAGAGCTATTAAAGCAGGCAAACTATCCGATATAATATACACAGGCAATAACATGAAGTATAAAACTATTAAAGCAGGCAAACTACCTGATATAATTAACCACAGGTAATAACATGAAGTACAGAGCTATTAAAGCAGGCAAACTACCCGATATAATATACACAGGTAATATGGGAGGTGAGGGGGGGATGTAGATCTGGATAAAGAAAAGCATTAGTTCTCTTTTAGTTTAAAATCAGTATGTCACAATACACACCAGTTTTTCAGCACTCAATTCAGCTGGTCAAATAAATATACCTGTCATCCTTGATCAGACAATATTTAAAGGTGTGTCGTGAATCGGACATGCCACTCTAAAAACTGAGGGTCACTTGAAAGTACTTCTTCATGGAAATTATTTTTATAATATGCAGAGTAAATTCCAAACAAAGAGCCGCGAAGTGCCAAGAATTGTTTTTATTTGTAATCCCTGTCCCAAGTTTATCTAAAGAAACAAGTTGATTTGTTTCTTCTGTTCTATAATCCTGACACTAATCTGTCATCTTGTCTGTACAAGAACAGACAACATGGCGGTCTGTACAATACAACTAGAACAGACAACATGGTGGTCTTTTCACTACAACAAGAACAGACAACATGACGGTCTGTACACTACAACAAGAACAGACAACAAGGCGGTCAGTACACTTCAACAAGAACAGACAACATAGTGGTTTGTACTCTACAACAAGGACAGACAATATGGCGGTCTCTACTCTACAACCAAAACAGACAACTTGGCGGTCTGTACACTACAACTAGAACAGACAACACGGTCTGTACTCTACAACAAGAACATACAAAATGGTGGTCTGTTTACTACAACAAGAACAGACAGCATGGTGTTTTGTACTATACAACAAGGACAGACAACATGGCGGTCTGTACAATACAACCAGAACCGACAACATGGCGGTCTGTACACTACGACTAGAACAGACAACATGATCTGTACTCTACAACAAGAACATACAAAATGGCGGTCCGTACTTTACAACAAGGACAGACAACATGGCGGTCTGTACTCGACAACAAGAACAGACAACATAAGGGTCCGTATTCTACAACAAGAACAGACAGCTTAGGGGTCTGTACTCTACAACAAGAACAGACAACATAGCGGTCTGTACTATATAACAAGAACAGACAACATAGGGGTCATGTACACTACAACAGGAACTGACAACATAGGGGTCTGTACTCTTTAACAAGAACAGACAAGATAGTGGTCTGAACTATACAACAAGAACAGGCAACATAGGGGTCTGTACACTACAAAAAGAACAGACAAGATAGTGGTCTGTATACTACAAGAACTGACAACATAGCGGCCTGTTTCTTTCTAACTTTTAATAGTCAGAAGACTTTTGATCGACCTAGTTCGATAATTTGAGATTTGGGTTTTGCACAAGAATTTGATGTTTACATAGTCCTCCTATTGGCGGGTATCCCAACCAGTCTGTCCGTCATATTGATCGGCAGCCGCAATCAAACTAACAAGGAGATAATGGCCTAAGTGGGTCAAACGATACTTTCTAAAATAGTTAAAAAGGGGTTTCTTAGGACATAATTTTTCGACATAGTTGCATGAGAGGTTTCTCAACGTTTTTATAATTTTTTTTTATAATATTCATAAAATCAAATGGTACTAGGCATAGTTGATACTTTTAATTTTTCATATTTTTTCTCCGTCTGCATGGCTGCAGGTTCTCTTTTTTAGTCTTCCCTTTTACCTTTATAATCGATTTTAGAATTATGAAGTCAAGCGCCTTTTTCAGGTCTAAAAGACATGACAAAGTTTAATTGCCAATTTTTCAGAAGGACTTTCTAAAATTTTGCATGCATAATCTTCTTTTAAACTATGAAAGTCTCAGGTGGCTTGTTTTGCCTCAAACTCTAATTCCTATATCTTTGCAACCTAATATTTCAAACTTTGACTCCTAAATCTAGTATAATTTGAAAGTTTGAAATATTAAAGGCCTACAACTTGGGTAAGGGAGTAGTATATGTATTTAATGGATCTGGATCAGGTTTTTTTTCCCGGACCTAAATATTAGTCCTGGAAGATTTCAAATCTGGAGTCTTAAAGCATTGTTTTTTTTATTTAGTCTGGTCTCTTATACATCTCAGGGTTTATTTTATTTTCTCTATAAATACCTCGGATTCTTTCCTAGATTAATATCAGGATTGACGAATGAGAAACCGAGAGGAAATAAGAAAATTGTTTTCATCATTGTTTGTTCAAGACTTTTACACAATCATGAAGCAAACAATTTATACTATTCTTATTTAAAAAATTTATTTTATAAATTTAAGTTTAGATAAAATAAATGTTTAGGATAAAATATAATATGTATACATGTACTTATACATATAGACACTTTACTTTATCAGGGAATAAGAGGGGAGGTGAGGGGGGGATGTAGATCTGGATAAAGAAAAGCATTAGTGTATTTTTTAGATAAGCAAAACAAATTTTTTGGGGAAAAAATGAAATGAAATAAATATGTTTTTGCCACAACAAAACAAATGTTAGAAATTCCATACTAAAAATGACAGAGGAAATAAAACTTTAATAATTTCAGTTTCCGCAGCAAGAGCAAAAATCCGCCAAAAACCGAGGAACTGGTTTTACATACTCTTGAGCATGACGTCATAGCGGTCCAGGCGCCGTTCAAGGGTGAGCATAACGTCATAACGGTCCAAGCTCCGTTCAAAAGTGAACAGATCCTACATCGGGAATATCAGGGAAGAAATCTTGGTGGAGATAAAATAACCGTCAATCGTTACTACTTACAAAATATCTAAATTAATCTTTAATAATTCGTAAACATTTTCATAATGTAACAAACATATCTTAATGTTAAAATTAGTAAAAAAATTCTTCTTCTTTTTACAAAAGTTTGACTCGATAAATGAAATGAATACGGGTGAAAGAAAGTATACAATAAATGATGCCCGTCCAATTTGTGTGTAATATTAATATTTTATATGTTTTAGTTGATGATTTATATACAATATTATAAAACAATGGCAATAATCAAATCATATGTTACCAAGTAACGTTTTACTATAGTGTAACAAAGTACAAAATTTCCTTTATTTCAATATTTCATTTTATCATAAGTAAGATCATTAGATCCCTCTTTACAGATTTGTATATGTAACGACTAATTTTAACCTTTTTAATTTTTATGATTTAGATGAATAAAGACGATTATAGACAAAATGCACAAGGTTAAGATTGAAAACTTTTTAAAATCTTTTTTCTATATTTCCTTTTTTTAGGAATGGAAAATAAAAACAAGAAAAACCCTTATCTGCTATTCATTTTTTTGTTAATTTTTACTAAAAAGTTTCTTTTCTCAATCTTACATTTTCGCGAACGAATGGTAAATTAAAAATATCGCCTCTCAATTTATTTATTTGTTAATTAATTAATTTGATGAAGAAATTCTTTAAAACTGCAAAAGTTTCAATAAACAAGTATCTATGAAATAGTGTATTTTGATATTAATATTATTTGTGAATTTTAGAAGAATGTAAAAATGTTAGTGAGAAAATGAACATAATGTGGAAATGTTTCTGAAATGGTGAGTGTTCAATATTATTTCAATGTTTTCTTGATTCAAAATTAAAAAAAGAACCCAGAACAATCTCTAGTTGATATACGTTGTCGGTTGTAACTTGTATTAATGACAGTATTAGCGAAATCTGGATTTAATGATGATTACAAGATGATTAAATCTAAGTTTGAAAATGGTAGATTGAATTTAAATCTAGTTTTAACGAGTTCTCTCAGTATTTTGCCTAACGAGCTGTCAATTTTTTTATCTCAGCCATTCCTTCAGCATTTCAATAATATAAGAGTTTTTGGGATACAGGAAGTAGTTAATATTTAAAAAAGGTCCATTTAAAAAAAAAAAACTAATTTTTGTAATATTTTGATAATTCAATAATGTCATTAAGCTTCAAAAGAAGGCCCAGATAACCAAAACGTGCACGCTCTAATGCAAAATTCAATCAGTAATTTGCCAATTACGCCTTTTAAACTTAAGCTAGAAACAAGCGCGTTATATTTTTTAAATGTATGTGTGCTAGGGCTGCATAAAAGTAAAATTGAGTTTGTGAGGTAAAACCAAAGACGAAGGTGTTGGAGTCGAGGCTGTTTTCTATATTTCAGCCAAGGGGNCGAACTTACGGCGAAAAATACGCGCTTTTGATCGCTTCTAATCTTACTTCTATCTGTTGCGTCTATAGGAGAAAATTGTTAAAACGACTCACACCGGAGAACGTAGATTCCATACAAATTCAGAAAGTTGCAACTTTCAACTCGGATCGTAAAAAAATCAATTAAATTTCAAAAAAATCATTCAGACACTCTCTTTAACAACCCATTAGTTGCATTTAATTGGTCGTACTGATAAACAAATGTAAAATGGATATATAGATAGATTCACGAACTTTACAAATGTTTTCTAGGGGCTGGCATTCCTAATATTTGAACCCAAGTTACAGATGGACATGATTTTTTTTTATCACTTTTACAATACTATGGGCTTTTCGGCTTCTGCACAATTTCATGAAAGCAAACTATCAGAGAACAACATTTTGAATAGTGATAGTTTTTGCAGGGGGGTCAGGTTCCAACGGGTGCCCCCCTCCCTTTCCTTGAAGAGTAAAACAAATTTAAACCCCCCTGGACACATTTCTGTATTATTTAAATACTTGTATTGTAAAAAGTTAAATAATGTGCAGAATGAAAAGATAATTATGTTTATGTTTGATATAAATTCTCTCTAGGGCATTTTGCCCTATGTGGTATGGATCACAGTTTTGTCTGCACTACGCTTAGCATTTCCTTTTCTAGTTAGTATTGTGCAGAAAGTTTAAAAATATCAATTGACAAATTGTGAGAAATTTTAAATAAGAAATATAGTTTACTTTTTATATCGAAATATTAGAATATGTATTTAGATAATTTACTTAATTTGATTCTTTTAAAAATTTGGACTAATTTTCTCTACATAATTTCCCTACTTCTTAATATCTTTTTTCATTCATTCCATTAAATCGTCAGCCTCCTCCCCCTTTCAACCACTTGGTTACCACCTAACTTCATATCTATCCACACCCCTCCTTCCACACCTGCCCCCGCTTCCCACCACCTTTATGCATTTTATCTCGAAATTAATTCTACAAAATTTATGAATATAAAGGATTAATTTCCTCTTTGGTTTCAAACTAAAATGTTGGCGCAGATCAGGGAATATGGAGAGGGAGGAT